GCTGCAGATTTGGGAGGATACGGCGCTTCTCTTTTAAGGTAGAACTGCAATGCTAAGGTTGGTCAAAAATGTTTAACATCCTGATTAATCATGGAAACTGCTTCACCATTAGCATCACAGGATTATGTAAAAGAAGAGTGAAAAGTGTGCAGAAGAAAAGGATTATCGATATCTTAGAGATGCCATCTCCAGAAGAGGTTGCCATATCTGATCTCAAGCACCGTAACACTATTAAGTTAAGCTCTGCCTTACAAATTAGACAAAAGTCTGCAAAAGCAGAAAGATGAATTGTTTGGCTCGGTGGTGATTTTGCTTGTGCACTACTTAACCACCCGTGTTCAAGGGAGGATAGGAAAGACTGTAAACACGGCTGCACTAATGTTTGTTAGGTCTGTTGCTTTGAACTGATTTTGTAAATCTGCCCTGCCTCAAAATGCCCACAAGTAAAGTTACGTGATGACAATTTCAAGACCCATGAATTTCCTTGGAGAAATTGGCTTCTCCTGGCCTTCTCTGCGGGGAAGTCCTGTGAGTGAGTGGAGCGCCATGTATTTTAATATTTTTAAATGATGGTACTTCTTATGTCCCCCCCCCCCAGCCAAAAAAAAGAGGCTGCAAGAAACAATGGTGCAAATTCTTAAGCTTTCTGGGTTAATCTCAATTAAGGTCCACTTCATAGTATATAGCCAAGAAGAAAGTCTTCTCCAGCTGTCTAGCGTGCATGTTAATCCAAATGGCTCACATTGAATAAGAGAATGCTATCTAGTCTGGGCAAGCTCTGGCTTAAATGGGGTAGGATGGGGTGGCACTATAGCCCCCGATCCGAAATAATGCAAGAGGTGGTTGTACCTGCAGGTAACCAGAAGAGAGACCATACTGGCCGGGAGACTCTAATTTTAGCCACGCAAACAGTTGCACCACGTCCCCCTTCTACCAGAAAACCTTAACTATGTCCTCTCCAGAAAGCAAATTTATCCATCAGATTAAAAATATGTAAATTATGCACTTCTAATTTATTGCAACAGGTACAGCAGTGTTGTCCAAACTTGGCCGCTTTAAGATGAGTGGACTTCAACTCCCCGAATTCTCCCGCCAGCATGGCTGGGGGGGGAAATTTGGGGGGTTTAGTGCACCCATCTTTAAACGGCCAAGGTTGGGTAAAAATTGTTTTA